ATATGTGTATATATATAGTATATATACATATATGTGTATACATATTTGTCTTTATATATATATATATGTGTGTGTGTGTGTGTGTGTGTGTGTGTGTGTGTGCGTGTGTGTGTGTAAATCACAATCCAGTATGCAACTGCATCTTAAGTATGCATTACTTTAAAATACAGAGCACATCCGAGGTGAAAATTAGCTACAAAATCAGCATGAGGTGAAATGACAGCAGAAAATTGTGGAGATCAAACCGTTTGCAAGAACTGTATTTAAAATCGGAGATACCTGTAATGTAGTATTCCCCGTACGAGGGCCAGGGAGGTGAAATCTCCTCTACCGTGTTCATTCTCTCCACAATACAACAGCAATCCATCCTCAACCTCTGCCTGAGAGGTCAGAGCAGTCATTCATAAGCGTCTGATCTCAAAAACCTCTCAAACGCATCAAAGTCTGCCTGTATATGGGATTACCTTAAACTCCAGGCTGATCTGGAAGCTCTGGTAAGAGTTTTTAAGAGGTTCAAACGTCATGTGGGAGTAGCCATAGAACTTTGGGAAATTTACCGTCAGACCTGTAAGACACAAAGCTAAGCGGTTACAGTACTTCCTGTGACACTCGTTTTTTCAGTCTTAGATTTGTACATGCACACACCCTCCGTATACTGTGTGTTTCAGTCTCGAGAGTCTATAGATCCGAACACTATGACTGAAGGTCATAGAAAATGATTTCTTTCAGTCCGTTTGGACAAGCTTTCTGGCCCGTCATCGTCTTCTGTGACAGCGCTGCGATTACGGAGCGTTTCATCTCTTGGGCACAAATCCCATAGTTCATCACTGCCATGTTGGTGTACAGCCACATCCACATGACCCTTCGCCCAAACCCTAATTTAATCCAAATGAAAGTTTTGTGACTTTTAGTCCATGTTTATGACAAAGGTTTGGGGTTGGTAGGATTAAATGTTTTTGAAAGAAGTCTCTTCTGCTCACCAAGGCTGCCTTTATTTATTTACAGTAATATTGGGAAATAATTCAAAATAAATGAAGAGTTCATTTGCAAAAACAGATAACTTCATTTTTAACAGTTTTCAAAAATCATGTTTTTTTCATTGCGCATTCCAATTAATCTCATTTAAACTGCAGTTGGGTTATTTTGATTAGCTAAAAAATACTAGCTAACTAACACAATACAAACATGATAACATAAAAAAACATGATTTTTGAAAATGTAAAAAAAAACGGAGTTATCTGTTTTTGCAAACAAACTCTTCAAATGTTTTCTATTGTAATACATTTTAAAATGTAATTTATTCCTGTCATGCAAAGCATCATCATTCCAGTCGTCAGTGTCACATGATCCTTCAGAAATCATTCTTGCTGCTCTAGAAACATTTCTTATTATTAGTACAAATGTTGAAAAATGCTTTTGTGGAAACCATGATACATTTTTCCAGGATTCTTTAATGAACAGAAAATTTAAAAGAACAGCATTTATTTGAAATAGAAATCTTGCAAAAAGCAATACTACATTTTGCCAGATAGAAATATTCAAACAAATCTGAAGTGGAAATATCTATTTATAGTGGAAACAGATACTATATAATAATTCAGCATAGTTTACTTTAGGATCAGGTAAGTTTGGAACCAATGGAAAACATTTGGGGCCTAGAGGCTATATGAAAGAATATATAACATACATGTATATTATTTGGCCATTACCCAAGCTGATGTTTTGACACTCAGAATGAGTTCAGCTCACTAGAATAGTGAGATTTCATGCAATTGCAATTTTCAGCACAACATATATTGCATTTAAAAATATTGAAACTGATATGCAATACAGTGAGAGACTTAGAACAATAAAGCAATATCTTGTCTGTGGAGTCAACTTGATTTAGAATGTTATTGTACTCGCTCTGAAAAGGTTAGACATAGTGAGGAATGCCAGGGGAATAGACAACAGCACATGAAGACCTCCACACTCAAAGATTACACACTCCCAAGAGACCTCAGAGAAGACATGAGAGAGAGATGGAGGAAGAAATGAAATGAAAAAGCAAAAGAGACACAAATTCTTCACCCATCTGAGAGAGAGACTGAGTTCAAGAGAGTAGATTTGAAAGGTTTTAGATCTTATTGAATTGAACTAAACTTCAAAAAACATCTGGTTGTATCATGTCTACTAAGAAAAGAGACGAAATAGCCTATCAATGATTCGTTCTAAATGATTATTTATCTTATTTTTTTCAAATACCACATATAAAATATACTAGGTTTCAGAAAAAAAGGTGTCATAGGCTACCACATCTGTCTCGCTGACCACCTTAGATCGTCTAAACCAGTGGTTCCCAACCCTGGTCCTGGAGGCACCCCAACACTGCATGTTTTGCATGTCTCCTTAATCAAACACACCTGATTCAGGTCATCAGCTCATTAGTAGAGACTCCAAGACCTGAAACTGGTGTGTCAGAGAAAGGAGACATGCAAAATGTGCAGTGTTGGGGTGCCTCCAGGACCAGGGTTGGGAACCACTGGTCTAAACAGCAGAAAAGAGTCAGAGTTCGCACTTTTTTTAAGCCAGTCCACAAACCAGCCTATTAGAACGTCTCTGCATGTTCATTTTGCATGTTTTAGTGGGTGTGGCTTTGGCGAAGGGGCGTGGTCTAATTCAGTGGCATCATTCAAAGGGATAGTTCACTCAAAAATGAAACAGATTTCGAACAAGGTGCGGGTGAATCAATGATGACAATTTCATTTTTGGTGAACTTTCACTTTGAGTCAGGTAGAAGTTAGCAACATGGTAAAATGTTTGTTGTGTAATCTAACATAACTATAATATGCCGGCCAAACGTGTGGAATAATTACATTCTTTTAATGTTTTTGAAGTCTGTTATTCTCACCAAGGCTGTATTTATTTGATCAAAAAAATACAGTAAAAATACAGTAATATTGTAAAATATTATTGTAATTTAAAATAACTGTTTTCAATTTGAATGCAATTTATTGCTGTGATGCAAAGCTGAATTTGTAGCATCATTACTCCAGTCTTCAGTGTCACATGATCATAATGAATAGTGAAAACAGTTGTGCTGCTTCATATTTTTGTGGATCTCATGATACACTTCCATTCAAAAATATAGGGTAAGTATGATTAAAAAAAAAAAAAGACAATAATTTTATTTGGCATGGATGCAGTAAATTGGTTTAAAAAATGACAGTAAATATACAGTATTTATGCTATTCATAGAATACGAAAGAACTGCTTTCTAACAAGAATCAGTAATCAGTAATTGAGCACATAATAACTGATAATTATTGAGCAGTAAATCAGCATATTAGAATGATTTCTGAAGGATCATGTGACACCGAAGACTGGAGTAATGATGCTGAAAATTCATCACAGGAATAAATTACATTTAAAAAAATAGAAAACAATTCTTTTAAATTACAATAATATTCCACAATATTACTGTTTTTACTGTATTTTTGATCAAATGGAGCCTTGGTGAGCAGAAGCGATTATCTCAAAAACATTTTTAAAATCTTAATTGCTCCAAACTTTTGGCTGGCAGTTAATATTAAACATCAAATACAGTATGTACTGATTTACGTCATTCAGAATATTAACTCTCATTGTAAACAAACTCACCTTCTGAGCAGAAGTCTCCCTGGTGACCGAGGTTGCAGTGACATCGAGAGCCTCCAGTGTCGTAATCGTTGATGCAGAAGCTGTCGGGGGGGCAGACCGTCTCGTCACATGGTACATCATAGACCCGGGGTCTTTGCCCTTTCCACGGCGTCATTGACGGACTGGGAGAAGGCGTGGTGGGGGCGGAGCCTGTCAGTATAACAGGTGTGGTGGTTGTCCTGGAGGCGGAGCTAGTGAGCGTTGTTGTGGTTACAGGAGTTGTTGATGTGGTCCATGCTGCCGCTGCTGTTGGAGTGAAGCTGATATTTTGGGAAACAGGTGTACGCATCCTATAAATAACATTTCCGTTTCTGGGAGTCCCGACGCGGGTGCGGAGCTGAGACCGTCTGCCGCTTTTCTTACTGCTAGTTAACGACTTTATCTGCAAGAAATGTACAGATGAAAGCCAGAAAGATTAAATAACAACACATTCTTTGTAAAAAAAAAAATTCAAGTTCTCTCTTTTTTCCGTGACTTTTGCATTTTTAATTTTAGGTTTCTTTAACAACATAAAAGATGGCTCACCTCCTCAATGAAGACGTCATAATCTGAGTCATCGATTTCAAAGCCGTCCTCATCTTTACTGTCAGAGTTTGAGATGTAGACGTCATAGTCTCCACTGCCTATATCTGCTGAACCTGTTTTTTTTTTTTAA